GGTGCTGTTCCCCGCAGGGCCATGGGTCAGTGAGGGGCATCATGTCTCATAGTGGGGCTGGCCATGTGGTCCTCTCTGTGGACTGACTGCTCTAATTGGGATCATCATCCTCAAGACCTGGTGAGCCAGGATGTTCAGCACATTTTTAATGCAGTTTTTGTAGTAAAATTCGGTGTCTCGGCTGATATTCGGATCAGCTTGTACTCAAGCATATACAGTAGTTAATGTGTCTCTTCTAACCAAATCTCTGTAACTCCTCCAAACAACCTTTTCCAGGATGGGTCTGTAAGCAGGATTCATTGTGATTGTCATCCTGCTGGGTTCAAAATGAGAGGTAGGAGGGGAGATTTCACTACCAGCAAAAGCAGGAGTGGAGCACATCCTCTGGACCCTGAGATCCCCAAGTAAACCTTGAACCCAAAGCCAATTGTGACCTCAGAGGAGCAGCAGCAGAAGCAGGAGCCAGAGCATGAAACAGTGGTGGACTTCCCAGCACGTGGAGCAAGTAAAGCTGAGTGCTTTGGGTCAGACGGCTATCTTGTGGAGTGGGGTGCCTTGGGACACTTAATTGGGAGAGTTGGACTTGTTGACTCATGGAAGTGGAGCTGAGTGCCTTCAGGCTGAAGCTTACTGGAGTGGGGTACCTCTGGGAACTTAATTCAGGGATCTGGGTTTGCTGGTTCCCAGAGCTTGAGCGGAGCGCTTTCAGACTGAGGTTTACGGTGGTGTGGCATGTCCTTTGGGCATTTATTATCAGCCTGAAAGAACTATGTCACATGCCCGGACTGAACAACTCTATCCTGAGCATTTCTCACCTGCATTGCCACCTGTGAACTTCCTTCATAGACCTGATCATCCTGAACATTGCCTGCAGGTTGTTTGTAGTCCAGGCTGAAAAGGCAGAGAGAGTTGTGGACGCCAGAGCACAGATGGTAAATGCTTTGTTAGACATCAACACAGAGGGTGCTGAGAGCCCACATCTGCAAGGAGAAGATCGGAGAGAAAGATCCAGGAAGGCTTCTTGGTGCCTCAATGATTCTTTTGTTTTAATAAATAATTTTATTGAGGGCTCTTACAGCTCTTATCACAATCCATGCATTCATTGTATCAAGCACATTTGTAAATATGTTGCCATCATTTTCAAACATTTTCTTTCTACTTGAGGCCTTGGTATCAGCTCTTTCTTTTTTTCTCCTTCCCTCACCCTAGTGGTCCTTAATATATCATAAATGATTATTGATTTTCCTATCTTACACCATCCACTGTCTCCCTTCACCCATATTTCTATTGTTCATTCCCCTGTGTGTGTGGGGGGGACCTTATGGGTTGATCATTGTGATCGGTTCCCCCTTCTTCTCCCCACCTTCCCCCTACCCTCATGGTATTGCTACTCCTATTATGGTTCTTGAAGGGTTTATCTGTCCTGGATTCTCTGTGTTGAGAGCTCTTATCTGTACTGCTGTACATGCTCTGGTTTAGCTGGATTTGTAAGGTAGAACTGGGGTCATGATAGTTGAGGGGGGTGGGGGGAGAGGAAGCATTAAAGAACTAAAGGCATGTTGTATGTTTGGTCAGTGCTATAGTGCATCCTCGCTGACTCGTCCCTTCCTTGTGACCCTTCTGTGAGGGGATGTCCAATTGTCTGCAGGTGGGCTTTGGACATCCAGTCTCCAGCCCCTCATTCACATTGATATGATTGTTTGATTTGGGTCTTCTGATGCCTGATACCTGATCCTGTCAACACACAGGCTGGTGTGCTTCTTCCATGTGGGTTTTGTTGCTTCCTTACTAGATGACCGCTTGTTTATCTTGAAGCCTTTAAGACCCCAGATGCTATATTTTTTAATTGCCGGGCACCATCAGCTTTCTTCCCATTTGCTTATGCACCCATTTTGTCTTCAATGATCCTGTCAGGAAGGTGAGCATCACAGAATGACTAGTTATTAGAACAAATTGTTCTTGTGTTGAGGGAGGACTTGAGTAGAGGCCCAATGTCCATCTGCTACCTTAATACTTAACATATAAATGTATGTATAGAGATCTATATCCCTATCACATATGTACGTATTACATATGTATGTGCCTCTGTTTATACCTCTTTAAATGTCTTTTGCCTCCTACTTCTTTCCTCTATTTCCTTTTACTTTCCTCCTGTCCCACTGTCATGTTCAACCTTCATTCAGCTCTCAATAATTCCTCTCAGCTACATTGTACTTGATTATTAAACCCCACCGGGCATT